CAAGAGGGTTTTAGACTGAAAAAACTTGTGCTAAAAGCAAAACGAGCCATCAACGATGATCACGAAAAAAGCCCAAATGTGTGTTTTAATTGATTTATTGGTATTTATTTGTGTTTTATTTTAAATTTTTATCATGGATACTTTAAAAGTGGGAAGCCTGAATGTGAACGGAGCCAGAGATGTCAAGAAGAGGGCATCTATTTATGAATTTAAAAAAATGAAACGTCTTGATGTTCTCTTCGTGCAAGAGACGCACAGCGACAGCACCAACGAGGCCGACTGGAGGAGGGAGTGGAAAGGGGAAGTCCTGCTGAGCCACAACACCAACCTCAGTGGAGGAGTGGGCTTCCTCTTCTCCAGGTCTTTTAAGCCAGTCTCCCTGGAGGTCAAACACATCATCGAGGGGAGGTTGTTTTTAGTCAAGGCACGGTTCGACCTTTTTACTCTTGTTTTTATCAATGTGTATGCTCCAACAATCGGTACAGAGAGGAAGCTTTTTTTAACAAAAGTTAATGATCTTTTAGATGGCTGTGCCCCGGAGGATTTTTTATTCTTGGGGGGGGATTTTAACTGCACAGAAGATGCGACCATAGACCGCAACCACGCAGAGCCACATCCAGCTTCCCAGCACGCTCTGAGGCAGCTGGTCCGGTCTCATGGCCGGGTAGATGTGTGGAGAAGGATGCATGCAGACTGCCGACAGTACACGTGGTCCCACCTCAGAGAAGGTAGAATCTCCTCAGCCAGGCTTGATCGGTTTTATGTTTTTAAGCACCATTTTAATATTTTTAAAATGTGTACCATTGTACCGGCTGTTTTTTCAGATCATTCCCTGCTAGTGTGTAATGTTTTTATTAGGAACATTTTGCCAAAAAGCGCGTACTGGCATTTTAACTCCGGTTTAACATTTGATAGGAATTTTAGAGCGGTCCTTTCATATTTTTGGAGTGTTTTTAGGCTGAGGAAGAGTGATTTTAGTAGTTTTAGGCAGTGGTGGGACCGCGGTAAGAGCGAGATTAGGCTTCTTTGTCAGCAGCACACTTTCAACGTGACCAAAGACATCACCGGATCTATGAAGGACCTGGAGACTGATATAGTGGAACTAGAGCGTTTAAACGAGTCCACAGGAGAGCGAGAACATTTTGAAGTCCTCAAGATCAAAAAAATGGCTCTAGCCGACCTGTTAGACGTTAAAGCTCAGGGTGCACTGGTCAGATCCCGATTCCAGACCATCACGGAGATGGACACTCCCTCTAGTTTTTTCTTCGGCCTGGGAGAGGAAGAGTGGGCAGGGGAGGGGGATCCATGCGCTGTTGGCAGACACAGGGTTGCCGGTGGTGGAACCATGCCAGATTAGGAGGCGAGCGGTCAGCTTTCACTCTTCCCTCTACACCCGTGAGTACAGGGAGGAAGAAGCACTGACGGAGGAGTTTGTGAGCGGACTACCTCAAGTCTCTGAGGAGACCAACAAAGCGCTTGACCGACCCATAACGGTGCAGGAGCTGAAGGCCGCCTTGCAGGGCATGCAGGGACGGCGTGCTCCTGGCATCGACGGCCTCCCCGCAGAATTTTTTAAGACATTCTGGGATATATTCGCACCTGATGTCCTGGAGGTGTCTGGCCTCTAGTTCCATGCCGATGTCCTGCCGCAGAGCGGTCATAACACTACTGCCGAAGAAGGGGAACCTACAGGACATCGGCCTGTTCGGTGAACTGGAGAAAAAGCGAAGCCCTTGCTGTCGGTGAATGGCGTGACGGCCTCCCGGTTCTTCCCCAAAGGTTAGTTTGGAGGAAAGACGGTTTTAAATACCTGGGGATCTATCTGGGACAAAGGGACATGGTCCAAAAGAACTGGGAGGGCGTCACAGAGAAGATAGAGGGAAAACTTGCAAAATGGAAATGGCTGCTCCCTCAGATGTCTTTTAAAGGTAGAGTGTTGGTTTTAAACAATCTCATTGCATCTCATTTGTGGCACCGCTTAACCTGCCTAGACCCTCCCTCTGGGTTTCTAGCCCACATACAGCGAAAGATGGTAGATTTCTTTTGGGAGGGTCTACAGAGGGTGCCACAAGGGGTGCTGTTTTTACCCAGAGAGGAGGGGGGACAGGGCCTTGTCCACTTGGCCAGCCGGACGGCCACTTTTAGGTTACAGTTTTTGAAAAGATACCTCACATGTCCGGAGGGTTTAGTGTGGCGAGATGTGGCCAGTTGTATCCTCAGACGTACAGACAACCTGGGGCTGGACACTGCTCTGTTTTTAATGGATCCCAATATTTTAAATATAAAAGGGCTGCCTCCGATTTATCAGGGCGTTTTTAAGTCTTGGGTCCTTTTTATTCAAAAAAGGTGTCCATTGTCTAACTCTTTGTACTGGTTGTTGAGAGAACCATTGATATGCAGGGCCAAGCTGGACGTCAGCAGCAGCGTCACCCCTGGCCTGACGGGGGCGCTGCGAAAAACAAAGACGTTGTGCCTGCAGCAGCTGGTGGACGCAGTGGGGCCGACGCTGAGCGATGCCCCGGCCCTGGGCTCACTGCTTGGGCTGCATTCGGTCCGGGTGGCGGGGAGGCTCCTGGAGCTGTGGAGCCAAAGGCTGACGGGGAAAGAAAAGAGCCTCCTCATGGAATACAGCCAGAAGAGGATGATACCGGACCCTGCAGACCCGTTTCCAGAGATCTACCTGAGTCCGGGGCTAGGGGACCTCACCAGCCCCCTGCTAGCCACGACACGCCCAGATCAACAATTTTATTATGGGAGCTGCCTACAAGAAAACGGAAATAGAAAAATGGCAGCTCCTTAACTTTCTGTGCGGAGAGGCAAAAATGGCAATTTATTTAAGCAGAAAGAACAGAGTGGAGAACCGAGAGGGGCAGGAGGCAAAAGTAATATGGCTGTGCAACATTAGAGCAAGGCTCTGGCTGGAGATTAGGTTTTATAAGCACATTGGGGACTTGGACGCTTTTAAACAGCGCTGGTGTTTTAATGACATTGTTTGTTCGGTGGTCGATGGCAAACTGGTATTTGCACAAGTTTTTAGCAGGTGATTACATAGTTTTACTTTTTTTATTTTTTTAATGTTGGATTTGTTTTTTCTTAGAAGGGAAAAAACAACAAAAAGTGGCACGTGATAAAAAAGATACAAATGTGTAAATAAAGTGTTTTTTAAAAAATCAAAAAAAAAATCTCTCTCTCTCTCTCTCGGTGCAGCCTCCTCTGTGGTAAATGTTTAATTCAGGCTCCTATGTACAAACACACAACACAACACATCCGGAGCCCCAGCATAATTACTATAGATTAAGGTTACCGAGCCTCCCCAACCTTATTGCTGGTATTATGGATTGGCAGTGGAAGAAGAGTGCAGTGCTTTTTGGTGGTCTTGTCCTGCATGACTGCTGGAGCTGCTGGGCCATTGCTTTGTATACTGGCTCACACTGTAAAGAAGGTACACACTTTCACGGTATGCTCATGCGACGCGTGAGCATTTGGTTCAGCTGGTGAATGTCTGCAGAGAAAGCTCAGCATTCCCATCAAGCCTGAATCACGAGGTTTATGTTTTTATTTTGTAGCCTGATTTGACACAACATGAATGTGAAATATATTCAACTATTCCAACAAAACAGCAATGGGACATTCCTTTTCTTCATTCATGTGATTTTGATAAAAACCTGTAATTTGCTACAGTTCTGTGCGTCTCATGGTGCATTCTCTTGAGATACGGAGATGTCTCTCGGTTTGTTGATGTGTAAGACACAGTCTTTTTATTTTAATTGTATCATATGAATAGAATAAAATTCAAATCACAAAAATTGTCTGTGGAGTAAAAATGTTTAAAATTATATTACAAACAAATTTGAGGATCATACAAAGTAAAAGCTAAATTAATACAAAATGCCTCATAACTCACTTTTGCAACAGCAGGTAAACTGGCAGTAAGAATAGCGTATGATAGAGTAGAACGGCAGAGAGCAAAAAGTCTTGTCATTCTGACTCAGTTTTTACTCTTTGACATAATATACATAATACTGGATGCCAGAGGGGAAACGTAGCTTAAGCGTCATTGCTTCTGTTCCATGGTTTCGCAATACAAGAAATAACCCATCAATGAAAAGCAATAAAAACTGTCTCATTTGATGAGGGATAAGAATCTCACATATTCTACAGATGTCTGAATGTCGCCTACTGAATTGAAATGTTTGTGTAATCTGCAGTGGGACGTTGCACTTTTGACCCCCAAAAGATTAAGATCTGTACTTCGCATCCTACTAAACAAACAAAAGTCTTGTCAAGCTAAATTTTCCATGATGAATTTCCTTTTCTTTTTGTACAACTAAAACATTTTCTTCCTCCTCACACATGCAAGGCAGGGGGACTGATGCAATTCATATACTGTGTGTGGAAATAAACTGTCAGATTCTTGAGGATGACACTGAAGTACATTAATACAGGAACTGCCTATAGTTGGTGCAAGAATCAGAGGCAACGTGCAAACAAATATCTACACATCTACATATCTACACCATATCTACACCAATCTGTATCAATTCATTGACCATCGGCGATCTCCTTTTTGTGACTGCCCTTCCCTTCTGGATTGACTATTATAGACGGGATGGTAACTGGATCTACTCAGACGTCATGTGCCGGCTGTCTGGCACATTGTTCTTCATCAACACCTACAGCTCCGTCCTTTTCCTCTGCGCCATCAGCGTCAGCCGCTACTGGGCAGTGACGCGGCCTCTGGACGTGGCCACCTCAGACCACAGAACTCGTGGGATCATCTTGTCCGTTCTCATCTGGCTTTTCACCCTTGCGACAGCTATTCTATTCCTGATACAACCAGGGACCCATACTGATGATAACAATGTCACCCGCTGTTTTGAGGGCTACCAGAACACCCCTGTATCAACCAAGGTTCAAGTTTTTGCCTTTCACTTGACAATAGTTATAGGGTTTTTTCTTGTCTTTTTTGTGGTCGTGGTGTGTAATTTCCTTATTGCCCGAACGTTGCTTTCCAAAGGTCCTCCTCGGGCAGAAATGCAGTCTGCAACGGTCACATCCGGAAAGTCTCAACGGACGGTGTCCTTCTCATCTAGAAAGCGCAGGGGAGTGAAGCAGAGAGCTTTGCAGATGTTGTTTTCAGTGGTTGGAGTGTTTGTCCTGTGTTTCCTGCCTCATCACGCTTGCCAATGCTTCTGGACGCTGGCGGTGTTGCATATAGAAGAGGGCTTTGGCCACGTAGACTGGAGCCAGAAGACCCGCCAGGCGCTCAACGACGCACATCAGATCACTTGGCTTCTAATGAGCCTGAACTGCATTTTGGATCCTGTGGTTTATTTTTTCGCCACTCAGAAGTTCAAAGGGTTCATCATGGCACACATTAAAAAAATAGCGAGGGGGGGAAGTTGCTCAACGACGCTCACCTCTGAGGGCTCCATGCACAGCCAGCGACACCAAAGTGAGCACTAGCAGCAGGAAATGAATTGATACAGATTGGTGTAGATATGGTGTAGATATGTAGATGTGTAGATATTTGTTTGCACGTTGCCTCTGATTCTTGCACCAACTATAGGCAGTTCCTGTATTAATGTACTTCAGTGTCATCCTCAAGAATCTGACAGTTTATTTCCACACACAGTATATGAATTGCATCAGTCCCCCTGCCTTGCATGTGTGAGGAGGAAGAAGATGTTTTAGATGTACAAAAAGAAAAGGAAATTCATCATGGAAGATTTTGCTTTACAAACCCTTTTTTGTTTGTTTAGTAGGACGCGAAGTACAGATCTTAATCTTTTTGGGTGTCAAAAGTGCAACGTCCCACTGCAGATTACACAAACATTTCAATTCAGTAGGCGACATTCAGACATCTGTAGAATATGTGAGATTCTTATCCCTCATCAAATGAGACAGTTTTTATTGCTTTTCATTGACGGGTTATTTCTTGTATTGCGAAACCATGGAACAGAAGCAATGACGCTTAAGCTACGTTTCCCCTCTGGCATCCAGTATTATGTATATTATGTCAAAGAGTAAAAACTGAGTCAGAATGACAAGACTTTTTGCTCTCTGCCGTTCTACTCTATCATACGCTATTCTTACTGCCAGTTTACCTGCTGTTGCAAAAGTGAGTTATGAGGCATTTTGTATTAATTTAGCTTTTACTTTGTATGGTCGTCAAATTTGTTTGTAATATAATTTTAAACATTTTTACTCCACAGACAATTTTTGTGTTCTGAATTTTATTCTATTCATATGATACAATTAAAATAAAAAGACTGTGTCTTACACATCAACAAACCGAGAGACATCTCCGTATCTCAAGAGAATGCACCATGAGACGCACAGAACTGTAGCAAATTACAGGTTTTATCAAAATCACATGAATGAAGAAAAGGAATGTCCCATTGCTGTTTTGTTGGAATAGTTGAATATATTTCACATTCATGTTGTGTCAAATCAGGCTACTAATAAAAACATAAACCTCGTGATTCAGGCTTGATGGGAATGCTGAGCTTTCTCTGCAGATATTCACCAGCTGAACCAAATGCTCAGATCTCCACCTTCACATCCACGTTCACGATAGATTTGAGTACACATCGTCCTCAATCACTGTGGTTGGGTTGAGGTCAGTGTAGTCACTACTGGTGCAGGTGTAATTTACGTACACGTCACATTCAGCGTGTGGCAAATCTTCCCTGGTAAGGAAAAAATTATTATCAGACGGTTAATATGTAGTGCACAACGCATTGGAACGCACGTGCACCAAATGCAAACACATTTCTTTCTTGGACAGACTTACTTTGGTGGCTGTTCAGATCCAGGAAAACCTATTAAAAAACAAAGACATAAAAAGTACATTTGTTCATAAAAAGTACAAAATTTGACATTAGGAAATGATACTAGGCCCTATTGGGTTTGTTTATTTTTACCTTTACTTGCAACGTTGCCGGTGATCAACGTGCCGTCTAGTCTGTGCCAGCACAGCCAGAAAATAATAGCAAAGATGGCGATCAAGGCCAGGAGAGAAAAGACAAAGGCAGATGTTCCTAAATTCTCACCGACTGTTGTGAATCAGGGTAAAAACACAGAATTGCAGAAGAAAGGTTTTAGTTGTAATTCACAACAAAAAATGATTAAAAATAAGAAACACAGAAAAAAGGCGACTATCCAACAGGCCTGGAAAGCTAAAGCTGAAAGAAGAACTGCAGAGTCAAAACAGACCACCCACCTGTCGTGTGCGTGGCGACGATATAGACTGTGTGGTTTTGAGAAAAGCGGCTCTCGGCAGCGGTAAGGCAGCGGTAAAGCCCGCTCTGCTCCGGCTCGGTAAGGGTCAGATGCCCACCAACTCCCGCTGGAAGCCAAGTCTGATTTCTTAAGCGTTGCCATGACAACCCGACAGAGTCTTGCACGGTGAAAGCACGGCATTGCAGGTTGACTCTTCGACCTGCAGCAACTGGGTAGTCTGGAATTGCCACCAGCTGCAGAGAGGGCTTTTCTGGGGAGGAGAAGGGAGACGGTGGAGGATTGGCGAACAGAACATGAACGGTGATGGATGAAGGACGGAGAAAGTAGATGAACAGTTACAGACAGGAGATTTTCAGCCACTCTAGTGTCATGGTTCCAGGGAGGCAGATGCCCTGGGTTATTTTGTGTTGGCAGGTTTATCCACCTGGATGGATGGCCATGAAATGTTGTACAGACATTCCTTTTCCCCGAAGGATAAGCCGTGATGACTTTGGTGATCCGTTGACTTTTCATCTAGCGTGAGAATTAGGTTCAAACTTGATTAGCCCAAAAATTTGCTTCATGACCAAATACCTGTATAATTAATGCCATTTGCGTTACATGCATTTTCACTTTTTATTAAATGAGCAAATGTGCTGACATGCTAAACATCATAGAGATACGAAGTAGGAGCAGCTGCAGTATTTTGGCACAACTGACAGTGCTGTGTGGCTCGCAGTTAGAAAACATCTAGTTCTCCAGTTGAACCCAAATAGCTAATATTCTGCAGGACGCTAACGGCTAGTGGATGCTAAAAGATATAGTTGTTAAGGAAAGTGAAACCACGATCGGCAGCTTAAAGCAACACACGTACCATGTTTAGCTTTCTAAAATGTTGAATTCGTGATCCCTTGAAATCGTCAAGTGTGAAAACTGTTGGCCACAAAATAACCCGAGAGCATAGAGACATTATTCGGTGGAGTCCCTGTGTTCCGTACCATCGATAACATCGTTAAATGTGTAAAAATACACACCACCATATCCAGCAGCCCTGCCCCAATCAAACATTAGCATGTAAACATTGTCATGTTAGCCAACAATTAGCAGTTAGTTTAAAACATGATTAGGGAAAACAGGATACATCCTCACAGAGATGCCAGCCCGGCCCTTATTTTTAGTACTTTTATTTTAGTGGAAATAATAAATAATCACATTCTGAATTACCTTCAACGGGAGGTGAACTTGAAAAATGAATCTTGGTAGAAGCGTTGTTCGTAGTCCATGTTGTAGTGTGGGATTCCCCTTGAAGCACAAATACATGTTAAAAGTACATCTAAATGTCCTGGATTCTTCTTTTACATTTACTAATATAAATACCCTTACCCGTACTCTCACACACAAACATCAGGAGAGAAAAGCTAAGAAGCATGTTGTTTAGAGATGAACAAGGATTAAATGCCACTCTTACTTCAGGCAAACAGGTAAAAGTCTTTTTTCAAAGCTCAGGTAAGAGTAGAGGAAGTACAAGGCTGGGTAATAGAAATAAAACAGAAGTTCAAGGGATGAAATGTCACTTCCTCATACGTGTATTAAAGTCCTTTGTGTTTTTAGGTGATCCTGTATTCTCATACTAACATACAGCAAATTAAATCACCCAAATCACAACCACGGCTACTATATGCTGAAATCCAAATAAAACATCCCCATAAATTGTGTGGTTGTGACCATATACATTAACACCAAACTAAAGGTAATCTCCATATGGGAGGCTTTTTTCCCCACACAATGCCAGAAGTATCTTGATTTAATTCCTGAATACTCTTGCTGACATTGTATCGTGGAAATCCATCCCATAAATGTTCTTGTTCTCACTTTAAATGGACCAATGTGTCTGAAATAAATACACGTGAATGCCAATGAATGATTCAACATACCTAGTTCAAGCACATAGTTCTAGTGTTAGAATGTCCCTGAGATGCAGGAAGTAGTATCTCTTGCAAAATGAAATGGTGTTTTGTGTGTGTGTGTGTGTGTGTGTGTGTGTGTGTGTGTGTGTGTGTACCTGGTTTGTCTTTCACATGATCAGTGTAAAACCTGAAATAAACATGATAGAATAATGCTACATTTAGTTCTAGGCTGATGTCATTTGAACCTACATTTCCTGTTTTTCTCTCTGTTTAAAGGAAGAGAACATGATGGTGTCAGTTTCTTCACAAAACCGGTGTTCCTCTGTGACTTCCTCCAAATGAGGTTATGTATACCAGAGAATTTCTCTCTCTTCCTCTCTCGCAGAGAAAGATAAATGGTGATACCGTATAATTATCTATGCCTGCCTTCGTGTGAATGCATCTGTGTGTCTTTTCCCACAAGTCATTACTCTTCATTATTCTTCTTTTATTCATTACTCGTTCATTATTCTCCCCATTGGCTACAGTCATGCCTGTTGGCTTTGCCCCCCCCCTGCCAATAGAAGACAGTAGAGTAATGGGATTAAGTTAGTGTGATGTGTGCATTCGTACACACACACGCCCCCGCATGTACTAATGTACTATTGTCCCACATGTTTTTATTGACTTTGACAAATTAAATTTGCAGAAGTCACGTTATGCTTTATTTTACTGCTTATGGAAAAATGTCATCTCTAGGGGGCATTACACACCTAGTGACTGAAGAAGCTGATCTAGGACCAGATGAATTGCAGTCATTCGTGCACAGGAAGGGGAAAATCTTCTCTTAAAAGTTGCATTGTCTTGGAATCTGCATTAACTTGTTGATCTTGGCCACTTGGAAACGAAGAATCTGTGAACACATCACTAAAATATCCTTACTTTATCTCATCCCCACGTGGAGACCTTTCCAAACAGTTTTTGTACTTTACACCCAGAAGTGACGGAGCGGTGCCATTCGTTTTTAATCGTATTCCTGACCATGTGATGACTGAATTATTCATTTTTAATTATTATTTTTAATTTTGTTAATACAAACTCCATTTTAACTTCTGGGCTTTTGGCAGCTAAATGATCACAGGCCTAAATTAGCCGTTACCATGCATTGGGTTCTTTAGCCACTGAGTTTTTGCCGAGAGATCCTCTGAGACAGACAGTTAAAGAATCCGCTGAAATGCTAAAAAGACCTCCACATGTTGTCAAGTTGTTTTCACGTTGTAGGCAACACAAATATTGATTATATGGGACAGACGTTGAGGTGTTCAACGGAAGTTACTCAACAAACAATCCACCACCGGGTGGTGCTCAGCTCTCATATATCTGTTCAGAAAATCCCCTAGCCCTCCTTTCAGGCTTCTCCCCCTTTCATCCCCAAATATCACTTTGTAATTCCGGCTGCTAGTTGCTTGATATCCATGGCTAGTCACGTAAAAGTCACGTAAAGATCCATCAAATCCATATTCCAGAAGTTCGAGATTATAGGATTTCAATTAATATGAAATAAAACGTATACGAGTCCATAAAAGTATTTACGTTTATGTTTCTGGGATACAAAAAGCATTTTGGTTTGCTTTTTACAGTAAAGGGGGGGGGGGGGGGGGTAGCCTCTTCCTTAAAAAAGAAAAATTTTCTCAAGTTTTTGGGGGGGAGGGGGGGGGGGGGGGGGGGGGTGACTTCCTCTTGGAGACAGCCGCCCCTGATGACCCAGATGAAATATGATGGCATTGTGTGTGTGTGTGTGTGTGCAGAAAGACGAAAGGGTGCACTCATCCGGACATCATTTTTTGATGGATAACTCTTCTCCCTCCTCTAGTCACGCATTGGGTGTCACGGTGATGACGAGTGGCCTCCTTCTGCTTTTGTGGCGGGCGGTGGGATGTGACAGTCCTGCCACTGCAGACTCCCTTCAACTGCCTCTACCAACCACCTCCCAGTTCAAATGAAAAACACACCCCCCCCCCACTTCCTGTCCGTTTTAGTCTTAAACTATGAAAGAATGTCTCCCCCAGCTGGCCGCGTTCGGGGCGCTTCAGGGAAAATAACAGCATTGAGAAACAGGGCCAACGGTGACAGGGCAGCTTTCACGACGCGACAGCAGAGGACGGAAACCAATCGGCTCCAGATGGACGCTTCCTGTGCCAGGCAGGAAATGACAAAGCTCCCTTGCCATCGTACTCCATTTCAGCGGAGAACAGAGACAATCCTCACTTCATCTAGAGGCCACCCCAACACCCCCCCCCCCCCTCCCCCCTCCCCTCTCCTCCCACACCTCACCCCAACAGGTGAGCTGGGAATTCCTTTCAGTCTCTTTGTTCTTCTCCTTTGCGTCGCCCCCCTCTTGAGTTGTTGTCATCACCGGCGACAAATACTGTAATAAATTCAAACTCCAATTTGTAGCCTCAGAGCCTTTGCTCCGCCTGCTCTGGGTGGGACGGATTCGATATTACCGTCACATGTCCACAGCATGTCCACACTGAAGAGAGGAAGGATCCCTTTACCAGGACAGGCAGACGTGCAAACAATGTCTTATGAACACAGTAGACAGAAATAAAAAACATAAAACAACCTCATCAGAGATAAACAGCATTATAAACCTGCCTACAAAATAGTGTGTGTGTGTGTGTGTGTGTGTGTGTGTGTGTGTGTGTGTGTGTGCGCGCTTCATCCTCGCGCCGCCCGGTGCGGATGATGTACTCTGTTCTGCTGTGTAGGCCCTGTGTTGAACAGATGTCGCGGATGCTGATACTCTCCCTGTGCTGGGCACGAACAAATTACACACCGATACACACATGGAAGCCCGCATGAGAAGCCACAGACACACATAAACGCACACACACAGACACACACATGCTGCAAATATGACCTTCAGATTACAGATGGCCCCTATCAGAGGCCACCGGCTGGATTTGCAAGATGTAAATACTGAGGGAGTAATCCAGCATGGGGCAGAGGGGGCTATAACATGGGGCAGGAGGGGCACCAGATGGTGGATTTGTGTGTGCGTATGTGTGCGCATGTGTGAGAGAGGAAATGTTAAGAGCGCTGAGGAACAGAGATCGGGATTATGGTTGTCTGTTTTTGATGTGCCACAGCACTAAATGCAGGTGAATAATAGCCCTCGACGTTGTATTTACTCTCTCGTTGCCCATGTGGCATCATGGCAAAGAGGTTGTGAACTTCCTTTATTAGTTAACTGACGGCCTGCGCTTTAAATGACCTTGAGTAGCATGTAGTGTGTGAGCTGTAAGCTGAGGAAGGGACTGCGTGCACGAGTGCTTTGACTATCAACCTCGATTTCCCCTGCGGCGTTTGGCGAGTGATATCAGACGTACAGAAGGGAAGAGGGAAAGAAAGGAAAGCAAACTGCGAAAAAGGGTGACAAAGGGAAACAGCGTTGACACAGGAATGAAGCCTCGTTTAATTCTTTGACTTGCAGAGGTCACTAGCCAATCGAGCTGGCACGCCGTGATGTGGTGTGCCGTCCTGGGAAACACTTCCCCCCCGCACATCCTTTTTCATTTCACCTCCTCCCCCCCCCCCCCCCTCCCTTCCTATTTCCGTAATCCCGGGTTTGTAATCCGGTTTGTCCTTGGCCATATTTTATCTCTTTGGCCGTCCATAAGCAAGACGGCGCCTATGAAATTCCTATCCCCCCGAAATTCGAGGGGCGGTGTGAAAACGTTTATTGTATTCAGTGTTCCCATTGGAAGCAGCGAGGTGTGTGTGTGTGTGTGTGTGTGTGTGTGTGTCTGTGAAAGAAAGAAAAGAAACAGAAACAGTTAGAAATATTTATACAGGGAGTCAAATGCAAAGACACAGGCAGCTCCCAGCAGCACATTCAAGCTCAAAAGGTCAAAATGAATTAAGCACACAGTGAGTTACATACATGGATGCACAGGCAATGAAAAAATTGAAGAAAGGGCTCAACCTTTTTGATAAATAAAAAGAAGAGGTCTTGGAACCCCAAAAAATTAGAAATTGGAGCCACCGACTAACTGATACAGAAGGAGCCGACAGACGATTAAACAAGGAGAGAGGAGAGAATGGGCGGCATTCTGAAGGACAGATCAGTGGCAGATGGGGGTGTTCTGGTCTGCTACTAATGTTCCTCGGAAGAATTAAAGTCCAGGAAGAGGTTAGCGCCCTCGCACACACACAAACACACACAACACCGGCTCATACACGTAGGCACACTGTTAGCTCGGTATTGGTGTTAGCGTGGGCGCCTGTAAACATCAGCGACCCCCCCCCCCCCCCCCCCTGGTTGTCCCTCAGCCGTAGTTAGTGACTTAGCGACCTGTGCGACCCCCCACACGCCGACATCCGCCCCTGTAGTAGCGCATGGGCGATCCAAAGTGTCACCTCGCTAAGCGTTGAGCACATTCATGTGACACCTTTCCTGATAACTGAATGCACGTGGGCTGAGATGTGAGGGAGGGAGGAAAGGAGGAAAGGGAGACGCTGCCCTCAAAAAAGACAAATAAATGTTGCATGTCTCATTGCCAAACATTACGTAACATGTCAAACTTTTGCTTACTTTTTTTAGCATCTCTATAAGAATAAATGATTTATTTAAGTACAAAATCTGATTCTTTGTGTTCACCACCACATGCTGCAACCTCCAGTTTATCGCTGTTTAGTCTTGAGCCAAAATGTTCCTAGAAGCTTAGTTTCCTAGAAGCTGCAGTTTGTCTCAGCAGAAATACAACAAATAACCTGACGGAAAAATCATGTTTACTTCATGCATCGCAATAAAGGCTTAATAAGATAGTTTCCTAAGATACTGTGGAAATATTGGATGATGTTTAAACAATAATAAAAAAGATCAATCAATGTGTTTAAATTAGATTGAAGGTCTTCCCTCAGCTTGTTCACTAAACTGTGAAAGCTTTCACTCATAAACTGGATGTACGTGTGGACCTTTTTTCTATTTCTATTTGTTCTATTGTTATAATATCCGTACATTGTGCCGCTTTTGCGATTTGCCGATACTTAACATTTTCTTTTTAAAAGGCACAAAGCAGCTACAGCAGATTACCCTCCAAAATACCTTCATGCCACACTAAATTGTTCTCTAATGCCGCACGCATCAGGGACATTACC